ATGCACTACAATATGTATCATGTATACATACACACCATATGTAATAATAAAAATGGGAAGTTTTTCCTGGTAGATGGACCAAGCTTCAGGGGATTGCCCCATACCTAGCAGTATATAGAGAGCACAAACTGGAGTCAATAACGTATTAAATATTTTTAAAGGACACAAAGCTAGGGTGAATATGACCAAAATACACTATATGTATTTATTAAATTCTCAAAAATTTAATAAAGATATTTTTAAATGAAAAGTTATTTTCTTTAGAAGAACTCATGTGTCCAATGTGACACATTCGTATAATCTCTGCACTTGAGGTAGAAGCAAGATCAGGAATTCAAGATCATCCTTTGATATATAGGAATTCAAGACCACCTACACTACATGAGATCTTGTCTTTAAAAAAAAAATTGTAATGCTATTATAATACAACAATTCCATTAGGACTACATATAGGCTAGAAGACTGAGACCATAAATACTTGCTTAGGTGCTGAAGAGATGGGTCAGGGTTAGGAGCATTTCTTGATCTTACAGAGTTTGGTTCCCAATACCCATGCCTGGTCTGGAATGTTCTCTTTTGATGAGCATGCACATGCACACACAGAGATAGATAGATAGACAGATAGAACAAAAAAAAAATCTTTAAAAAAATAAATGAATAGCCAGGTGGTGGTGGCACATGCCTTTAATCCCAGCATTCAGGAGACAGAGGCAGGTGGATCTTTGTGAGTTTGAGGTGAGCCTGGTCTACAGAGCTAGTTCTAGGACAGCTTCCAAAGCAATACAGAGAAACCCTGTCTCAAAAAACAAAAATAAAATAAAAAATAAATGAATAAATAAAACCTTGCTGGCCATAGTATCACACACCTTTAATCCTTTGGGAGGGATTTTTTAAAAAGAATTTGAAAGGCAGAGGCTGGCAGATCTTTGTGAATTCAAGGCCAGCCTGGTCTACATAGGGAGTTCCAGGACAGCCAGGGCTACACAGGGGAGCCCTATCTGGAAAAAAACAAAAATACTTTGTTAGAAAAAAAACCAAAAACTTTTGTGTGGGTGTGGTTTTTCAAGACAGGATTTCTCTGTGTATCCCTGCCTATTTGGAATTTGCTCTGTAGATCAGGCTGGCTTTGAAACCAGGAGATCCACCTGTCTCTGCCTCCAGAGTGCTGGGATTAAAGGCATGAGCCACCACACCCAGCTCAAAATGTGTTGTTTAACACTTACTTATTTGTGTGTAAGAGTACATGTTTGTTTCAAAGAGCATGGAGCTCAGAGAACAAGTTGGTGGAAATAATTCTCTCTTCCCACTTTGAGGGTTCTCAGGAATCAAACACACATTGTCAGGCTTAACAGTAAAAGCCCTTTCCTGATGATCTCTGGCCTCAGAATTTTCTCTCTCTTTTTAAGACAGGGCCTCACTATTTAGTTCTTCCTGAGCTAGGTGGAACTCACTATGTAAACCAAGCCGGCCTTGAACTCTCAGAGATCTGCCTGTCTCTGCCTCTCCAATTAAAAGTGTGTGAGCTATCAAGCCTGGACCAGAACTTGATTTTTATAACTGTTAATGACTAGCACTCACCTAGCAGCAAGTGTGTCCAAGGACAGACTCCAGCCTCTACAATGAAGCCTTTGGTGATATAACCAACTAACCAAACAGCCAGTCACACACATCTCCTTAGAAAGCTCAAACTCTTTGTTAAATTATATATCCAGCCCTTATATCCCCAGCACTTTTTCTTTACAGAAAGGATCTGTTATGTTACCTAAGTTTGCCTCAAACCTGTGTGACCCTCCTGCCTCAGCCTTTTGAGTGCTGGAATCACTGATGTGCACCACCACCACACCTGGCTCCAAGCCTCAGCACTTGAAGACTCTTTATGAATTTCTGCTGGGGAGAGTAATGCAAGTTTTCTGGTTCTCCTAGTTTATTTCCTCCCTGCAAACATGGCAATCAATGATTTTGGTTCTGGGCAGGACCTGGATCTCTGGAGGATTCCCAAGGGCCAAAGGGAAGTAAAGATTACGCCTTCTGAGCTACCAATCACCAACATCCAGTCCCTGTATTACCCCTGACCCAAAGATCCAAGGAACCAGGAAATATGTGCTAAAAGCAAGGACTATGGCAAGGAAACATTCACAAAGAAAAAGAAGAAACTAGGGGCTATTTTCCAAAACAATCACAAGCTGGTAAGAATGAGCCACACCACAGAGGATTTGGCTGAGTTAAGAGTAAGAAGGAAAATCACTCTGAGCCAAATCCACAAGAAAACACGTTGATTTTTTTTTCCTTCAGAGAACACACAACACATATGTAGGATATATCTTGCTGTGTTGTTTGGGGGAGAGCACAGACGATGAATGCAGGAGCACATGTGTCGCGTTGCTTGGACACAGGTCAGATGTATTGGCCCTCAACTTCCACTCTGTTCAGAACAGGACCTCTTTGTTTTCACACCTTCATATGCTAGGCTCGCATGTGAATTTCTCAGGATTCTGCTCCACTTCCCATTGCCCTGCAATGGGCTAGGATTACAGACATTCTGCTGTATGTCCAGCTTTTACGTGAGTTCTGGGGATCTGAACTTAAGTTCTCACACTTGCAAAGCAAGCATTTTTACCCACTGAGCCATTTCCCCAGCCCCAAAAGGACAGATCTAAGCACAGGATACTACGGATACTAATAATTAGAAACAATGGATAAGGCAGCACTTCTCTTTATTGATTAAAAAGGTATAGAAAATGAGTAATGGAGAGGAGGGAAAAAAGCTGGTAAGAACAAGGGGAGGGAAAAGAAGTACTAAAAACAAAAAAAAAACAAAAAAAGAAGAAGAAATATGTTCAGTGTCACAGTACTTGTGAAGCCCTGCATGAGGCTATTAAGTTCCAATCCTAACACTGACAAAAAAAATTTCAGAATATCATTTACCATTTATCCTCAGGTTAGGCCAATCCAGATCCTTAGGGACGACCTTCTCCAGCAGGAAAGCTATAAGGGACCAATGTACAATTCAGAAACAGGCAGACTTCCTGTTTCTGAAACGAAGTTTCTCAGTAATGTAAAAGACCTTTAAACAAGCCTCAACACTTTAAATTTTTTTTTTTTTTTTTTTTTTTTTTTTTTGGTTTCTCTCTATGTAGCCTTGATTGTCCCAGAACTCAATCTGTAGAGCAGGCTAGCCTTGAACTCAAAGATGAACCTGACTATGCCTCCCAAGTGCTGGGATTTAAGGCGTGTGCCACCATCATTAGGCTTTAAATTTCACGTTTAAAAAAAAATTGCATTGAGGGGCTGGAGACATGGTTCACTGGTTAAGGGCACTGGCTCCTCTCCCAGAGGACCCAGGTTCAATTCCCAGCACCCACATGGCAGTTCCCAGCTGTCTGTAACTCCGGTTTCAGGGAACCTGACACCCTCACACAGACATGAATGCAAGCAGAACACCAACGTACATAAAAAAAACAAAGTCACTTAAAATTTTTCATCTAAAAAAATATTGCATTAAATAGGACATTGTGACACACACCTATAATCCCAACACTAAGGAGGCTGACAAAGGACTGTTGCATGTTTCAATTCAGCCATATCTACATAGTAGCATGATCCTATCACAAAACTGTATGTATGTATGTATGTATGTATGTATGTATATATACACATACATACATATATATATATATTCCTATAATTCCAGCACAAACAAAGATCCTGGATTAGTTCCAGGCCAGTCTTAGGTTTTTTTGTTTGAGGCAGGGTTTCTCTATACTGGATCAGTAGAACAGGCTGGCCTTGAACTCAGAGATCCACCTGCCTCAGGCTCCCAGTGAGAAAGACAATAAGAGGGAAAAGGCTGGGAAGGAGGAGGGCAGGGACCAGCAAACTTCACCATATGGCAGGCCTAATCAATGTTAGTTTGTCCCCTAGCACTGAAGGGACACCTAAATATCCTCTCTTCCCAGTTGATACCTACCCGGTGGTGGTGGTGGTGCATGCCTTTAATCCCAGCATTTGGGAGGCAGAAGCAAGCAGATCTCTGTGAGTTTAAGGCCAACCTAGTCTATAAATCAAGTTTTAGGGCAATACAGAGAAACCCTGCCTCAGAAAGAAAAACAACAACAAAAAAATGTGTCCATTTATGTCCTAGGTCTGAATTTGTTTTCCTTGGAGCTCTGAATCTCTTTCTGAGGCACACACATTACTTCTTTGCATTCTACACATGTCTGAACAGTATGTATGTATGTATGTATGTATGTATGTATGTATGTATGTATGTGTACTTCAGGGTATCTTCCCAAAAAGTTTTACATACCCCCATGGGGGGAAAAAACAACAAGCTAAGCAGGCAGCCATGCATTTAATGTTAACTTAGTAAGAATAATGTGACTGAAACTGTTGTATTTGACATGTTTGCAAGAAAGAGAACCGGTTCAGCAAAAGAAGTTACCAACTAAGTAATAGCTAAAGATGTACCCAATCATGACTAAAAATGGGCCGAACCGATTCGGTTCCCACCTACAAGATTATCCATTCAACTCCTACCGATGAGTTCCCACCGACCACACACATCTACAGATAGGTCCCTGATGCAGTTCCCACCAACCAACGGTCCACAGTGACGTGGCGGCTCATGGGTCTCTGTGCATTCTGTTCCGAGCCAAGGCGTCCATCAATAAAGGGGTCACCCAAGGGTGTACACCGGGACGAATCCCCACCCTCCCTCAGGGCCCCGATCCCTTTGGCGCCCGCCGAAGGATCCCAAGCCACACCACTCCCGCCTCCCCCCCACACCCCGCCGTCCCTTCCCGCCCCGGCTTCCACTGACGCTCCGACCCAGCCTCCAGCCCAGCCAAGATGGACGCCGGAAGCACAGCCGCCTTCGCGAGCCCTCTCGCCAGGCGCCCGCGCCCGCCCGCCCGCCCGCCTGACGCCGCCGCGCCTGACGCCGCCGCCGCCCTCGCGCGCCCGCCGCCCCTCCCCCGACCTCCCCTCCCCCCGCCGTAACGTCCTGACGCTCCGCAGGGACCCCTGACTGGACGGCGGCGCGTGAGCGGCGCGAGAAGCTTCGCCGCGGGGGTGCGCGGGCACGCCGAAGCCGCTTACCTGGGCCCACACCGGCCTGCTCTGGCGCCCGGCTGTGACGGGTGCGGCGGCGGGTGGTGGCGGTGGCGGCCGCAGGCTTCGCTCCTTGTTGGGGATTCGGCGGCGGCGGCGGCGGCGGCGGCGGCGCGGGCGCGCGCTTCCTAGTGACGCAGACACCAAGGCCGCGCACGCACGTGTCGGGCGGGTTAGGAGACTTATTTGGCGCCCGGCGCGGAAGCGGATGGCGTGGTGAAATAGGGCCCGAAGGGCCCTGGCGCGCCTGCGTGTGTGGCCCTGCCTCTGTGCAGTGGTTAGGTGTCCGTGGCTCACGCTCAAGTTGGCGTCGTTTGGTTTGTAGTCCGCCTGTGGGCTCCACCAGGGAACGGTGCCTCCCAGGTGTGTGCTCTGCAACCCAACCTGAACCATCGAGTGTGGGCGTTCTTGCCCGTTTTGGGCAGAATCGTGTTTTCTTTTTTGAAATGGAAGGCTTTGCGAATTTGCTCATTGCGAAGCGGGGTTTTCTTGCGGTTGACGAACAGGCCATTGCAGCCGGTAGTCCAAACAGGCAGGAACTCGCTAGTAGACTAGGCTGACCTGGAACTTAGATCTGCCTGCCATCCGAGTTCTGAGATTCAAGGCGTGCGCTGTCATGCCTGGCCCACTATTCTAAAATTTTAAATGAAAGTTAATAAAAGCTAAGTGTATCGGGTATTTTGGAGCTATAAAAGTCTCATAGAGTGTCTTGGATGCCAAGAATTGCGGCTTTTATTTTTTTCTAACTTGGGAAAGGTCTAGTATTTAAAATATCTGGATTTTCCAGAAGCATCCCCTGCCAAAATTGCAGTTGAGAGCCAAAGACAAGCAGTTCTTGTGTGGTTCAAAGGTAACAAACAGCAATAGGCCCTTGCGACCTGAGCAGTGTTTATCTTGGCCCTGCTGGAGCCTGGCCACCCTGTTAGACACTGTGGTCTTGGCAATAGAAAACAAACAAACAAAAAAAACCTTTCTTTCCCAAACACCCCATGCTTCCTGCAGGCTGAGATAGCCAATTCTAAGCACCAGGCCAGCTCTCCTAAACTGTCAGTGTGGTCATCAGAGTTCAATCAAAGTTTCAGAACCCCTGCTCTGCCTGTTTTAGAGTCTTCAGAGAATTGCGCTTTCATTCTGAAATGATTTTGGTTATTAATGTGATAAATATGCAAGTTTGTCACTGCATAAGTAAATGCTACTGAAGTTAAAGGGTAAGGCTAGAGAAGAGGTAGAAAGGAGATCAAGGCCCACATGAGCCTTAGTGAGTGGGTTTTGCTGCTAGCAGTAGGTGAGTAGAATGAACTGGTACCTAGTCTGAGCATTTGTTCAGGGGAGCTGAAGAATAGAGTAAAAGATACCACCTTAATTGAAGGTAAACCTAAGCTCTTCCTGCAGGATCTAGCAGATGTAAAAATCAGCTTTTCCCACCTGCTCAGACTCAGCTTCTAATCACCAATGCCTGAAATCAGTCCTGCTGTGGGCAACCCTCATCTGAGCAGAGCCCATCGTATCTGGAGGAAATGAAGGGTATTATCAGCTGGTACTGAGTTGTGTCCATGACCCTCTCATCCCACCCCCGTTTATTTATCAAACCCTAACTCCCTACATACATAGGACGTAGGGGTTTGAGGAGGTTATAGGTGCCATGTCTGAGGCAGAAAGCAGTTCTTAATCTTGGACTGCCAGCCTATAGAACTGGGAGTGATCTAAGCCAATATTAAATGAGTTCTCAGCAATAAAGGAAATATTCCCAAAACAGATAGGCCTTCCCAGGGAATAGAGTAGCTAGAAAACTCCACCTGCCAGAGCTTAATCCATGTGAGCACCAGCACATGATAAGAATGTTGCACACAGAACAGGAGACTGTGTAGGTTCAATACTTCATAAGTAAACGGGAGACAGGACAGTTCCCCCTACAGTGGAGTTTTGATTAATAAATGTAATAGGAAATGGAAGAAAACAGCATTACTTTGTGGCAGACAAAATCCACTCCATCATTTTGAAAATTAATGGAGGGCTAGAGAGATGGCTCAGTGGTTAAGAGCACTGGCTCCTCTTCCAGAGATCTCAAGTTCAATTTCCAGCACCCACATGGTGGCTCACAACCATCTGTAATGGGATCTGATTCTCTCTTCCTGTGTGCATGAGGACAGGTCACTCAAATACATAAGATAAATATTAAGAAATTTAATGGAGGTTTGAGGTAAAACAAGTTCTCAAGATGTCTCCCTTAAAATACTTTCTATTACTACTATTTAAAAAAAAAAAATTACTGAGCTAGGTAGGGGCAGCTCACATCTTTGATCCCAGCACTCAGGAGGCAGAAGCAGGTAGATTTCAATGAGTCAAGGCCAGCCTGGTCTACAGATCGAGTTCCAGAACAGCCAAGGCTATGCAGAGAAACCCTTTCTCAAAGAACAAACAAGCAACAAGCAAAAATCTCCACCTCAAATTTAGTGCTTTAAAGGTACAGCTTAGGTCAGAAGTATCACATACCTGTAGTCCCCACACTTAGGAGACAGAGAAAGCAATTGAGAGGTAAGTGGCAATTTGGGTTCCTTAACAAGACCCTGTCTCAAGCAAACATATAACATGAGTTTATTCTCTTACTTCTCTGAAGACCAGAATTGAAGCCCAACCCAGTTCATTGAGCTGAAACCCACGTGCTACAGGGCTGGTGCCTTCTGGATGAAGCAAAGGGGAGCCATTTTCTGCCACCCATGGCTTCCAGAAGGACTTGGTTTGTGACCTTTCATCTTTAAAGTTAGCTTTCCTGCCTCCCTTACCTGTAGACTGAGAGATAAGCTAACCTTGAGTCTGTCTGAGGGCCTAGGAAAAGGCACTGTCAGAGGTCTTGATCATGCCTACTGGCCAGGCAATGTCAATGGACTGGGTTACAGCCTGGTGCTGGGAGGAGGGTATATAAGGCTCTCTCCATTGCAGAATAAATGAGTCGGCTGTTTGTTTTTTTACCTGACTCCCAGTGTCTGTGCTGTTGATGCCCTGTCTTCTCAACCCATCCTCTGAGGGAGCCATTAGGACCCAGCAACACCTTACCTACTTTTTTAGTTTTGCTCTTTTTGTTTTTTGAGATAGGGGTTCTCCTTGTAGTCCTGGCTCTCCTGGAACTTGATCTGTAGACCAGACTGGCCTTGAACTTACAGAGATCTGCCTGCTTTACTTCCTGAGTGCTAGCATTAAAGGCAAGAGCCACCCCTTCCCTGCTCCCTTGCCTACTTTTAAAGACCCTTGTGAGTATATTGGACCCATCTGGATAAAGCCTAACCCCCCCACACACACACACACACTTTAAAGACATTGAACTAGGTAGCCAGCCTAGACTACAGAGCAAGTTCCAGGACAGCCAAAACTGTTAAAACAGAGAAACCCTAGGGTCAGTGACCTGGTAGCTTGGTTGGTTTGATGTTAACATAGCTAGAATTATTTGAGAAGAGGGACTCTTAAGTTGAGAAAATGCCTGTGTAAGATTTGCCTGTAGGCTAGTCTATAGTGCATTTACTTGACTAATGATTGATTGATATGGATCCATCCCATAGATGGAAGGGAGTACGATGCCATGCCTGGAGTGGCCTCCTTCATTGTAGATAAGGAAACAGGCTGAACAAGCCAATCAGCAGCATTCCTTCATGACTCTGCTTCAGTTCTCCAGCCCCTGCCCTCACTTCCCTCGATGTTGTACTATGACCTGAGAGGTGGAAGCTGAAATAAATTCTTCCCTCTTCAGGTTGCTTTGGCCATGTTGTTTTAGCACAGCAGTAAAAACCCTAACCAAGATACCTGGGAACCTTTCTATCTACTTCTTTAATTCCCCTTTGTACATAACCAAATATATTCACATACCCCATGGATGAAAACATGGACCTCTTGTGGGGTGATAATTCTGTCTTCCCAAAACTTATAAACCATAAAAGGAAAGATAGTGATTTTTTTTTCCAAGACAGGGTTTCTCTGTGTAACAGCTCTGGCTGTCCTGGCACTCATTCTGTAGACCAACCAGACTGGCCTCAAACTCACAGAAACCCACTTGCCTCTTCCTCCAGAGTACTGGGATTAAAGATGTGTGCCACCGTGCCCTGCTCAATAAAATACTTATACTTTTAAAAAATTAAATATAATAGTAAGTGAAATAGTCTCAAAACAATGTTCACTCCTTCATGAATTGTCCCTTGCAGAGCCACTTCCCACTCTTGACTTCTAAATATTAATTGCTAAATAATCTTCCTGTAGATTTAACAAAACTCAACACATCTGGTGAGCTTTAGAGTGTATAGGTACCTGTAAGTTAGTGGTTAACTTACAGAAAAGTAATGTGTCTAAAGAAACTAGCCTCAGGAGATGTAGTGTAGGTCTACTATGATATTCTAGCCAAAGTAATAAAAAAAAAAGGGGGGGGGTGGAGGAGACACACAATGGATGAAGAAGACACTGCTCAGAGTATAGCTTTTCTGCCCAGTGTCCAATCATACTTCCTTTCCTTCTCTGTAACAGTGCCTCCATCCACTTAAGTTCTCCAGGATGATCTCTTTGAGGGATGTTTAAGCAGGAGAGGCCCTGAGCCAGGTGTTCTGCTTTTGGTAAGGAATTCCAGGACAGATATGGGAGCAGTGACCAGGGAATTCTTCCTCTTCCAGCATCTGAATCTGCAGGCAGCTGGTCCTAAAGAACCTCCCACCCCCAAGAACTACTACTTTCTCACACCTGGCCACACCTGCCAGTGAGTGAGGTAAAATTCCATTGTCCAGGATCATTCCTGGATCAGAGCACAGAAAAGGGGGTTAGGAAGCAGTGTCCCAAGGGGTTATAAAACCCCTGAGGGGGAGGGGCATTGAGACAGGCTCCACAGAATGCCTCAGCTAAGGCATTGCAAACAGCATGGACCTCTGAGACAATAGAAACAGTAGGAGATGTCCACACTGCCCATAACTCTCCAAAACACAGAAGCTCCTGGGCTCTTGGTGGAGAATACCTACTCCAAACCAACTCAGGTGAGATGCTCTACCACAGCCCTTGTACAATGACTTTAGGCTGTAAGTTTGGCCTAGGGTGCCACTGGACGTGTGACCTCAGGACTCCTGTGAAACCACATTAGGATGCCATGACTCTCACTCTTCAGCTCTAGTGTGCTCTGCAGCACACAGGCTCCAGGGCTGGCCACAATGACAGAGAAGGACCAAACTTCTCTGGGGCCCTCGGTCGTTCTGTGCCCTCTATAGAATCTCTCCACAATGTTTCCCATAAAATTACAAGCAGATGCCGATGACTGCTCTTGCAGAAGCTGGGAGTCTGAGAACACAGTCTGAGAACCTCAATGAGAATCCACACATTTGGGGTTGGAGAGATGGCTCAGGAATTAACACTGATATCCTGGCTTTTCCCTTTCCGGGGGTCCTGGGCAACCTGGCCCTGTTCCTGCTCCCGACTCCTCCCCTTCTCTGGCAGGTGGTTTCTCCTCTGCACCAGCCCTCTCCTGGGCCTGTGCCTTCCTTCTACTTAGGGAACCTTCCTTTCCTGGTTTCGGGGCCTCTCTAATCCCTGGGTTCTCTCCCCGCCCTGGGATCACTCTTCTCCAGGTGACTTTTTTTCACCCCTGGATCCTCGCTACAGCTCAAAGGCTCTCAGCGGTTACATGACTACTTTGTGCATGCTTTAAGTGGTTACATGCAGAGGCCACACAGAACTGGGCCAATGGCAGCCCCATGATTTTAGTTTCAATGGCCTCAACTGCTGAGCCTTGTTCTAAACTGCTCTCTCTACCTTTTTAAGCACTTCCCTCCTGTTCTTTTTCTTTCCATTTCTGCTCCCAATCGGTTAACACCTACTCCTCCCTTTTCTAATAAACTCCATGTGGATCTATTGGGTTTGGTGGATCATGTTTCATCACCCAAAGCTGCAGCAAAGAACAACAATTAAGAGCACTGCCTGGTCCTCCAGAGGTCCTGAGTTCAATTCCCAGAAACCACATGGTGGCTCACAACCATATGTAATGAAGTCTGGTGCCCTCTTCTGGCCTGCAGGGATACATGCAGGCAGACCACTGTATACATAATGAATACATCTTAAAAAAAAGAATCCACACATTTGTGCCACTAGATTTATTAAGGTTGCCAACACATCCACTAAGAGGGCCACCAAGAGAGCCCCAGCTGCACCTGGCCTGGTGTCTGAACTAGGGAAGTCCTTTAGGGAGAGCCCAAAGTCAGACACATTATAAGGACTGGACAGTTCGGAGTGTGGGAAGAGAAGCAGGATGCTTGGGGTGCAGGGAAGCGGGTAGGAGCAGGAACAAAATTTGCATCTAGACAGAACTGAACAAAACAAGAACAAAACCCGAAAGTGATCTTGTCGCCGCTGGGTCCAATGCTCCTTAGCCAGACATCTCCTCCCGCTGCTCCTTGTTCCTGCGCACCTCAGCAGCATGCAGCTCCTGGGAAGACAGGCGGAAAAGCCCTGAGGAGCGGCCAAGGGTAAGGGTGTCCCAGGGAATTTAGCGCTAGAGTCGCAGTGCTTAGGGATCAGATCAAGAGATTGGGCATTTGACCCCTAGCGTAAACAAGCTCCATCCTTTCTTGGAGTTGAGACCCATGAGGATGGGAATTCCTTTAAAGTGCTTCATAATTAATTTAACCATATATTACTGTGATTGTTAAATGTATCTCTCTAGGACCAGGTCCTGGGCCTGATTCCAACGTTGAGGTGCTCAACCAAAAAAGAAAGAAAAGAAAATCTAGAAAGACATTATTAGGAGCACCCCCCTTCTTCACTCAGTGTACCGCCAGATCCCACACCCAATAATGATCACGTCGCCGCCAACACCATCGTCCCCAACCCAGCACCCACCTTTTCGCGCAGCCGCTCGCGCAGTGCTGCCAGGTGAGCCTCGCGTATCTCCTTGCTCAGCTCCATCTTGTAGTTGAGCTTCTCCTCAGCCAGGCGGCTAAAGTTATTGTTTTCTTCCAGCGCCTTGTGCAGCACCTCGCGCTCATGCTCACGCCGCTCTGCCAGCTGCTTCAGCACCTGAGCCTCCTGCGTCTGCGCAGAGCCAGGAGTTAGTGAATAGCAACTGGGACCCATCCTGAGCCAAGGCCCGACTACGTGCCTCCCCTGCCAGGACATGGACCCAGAGCTGTTCTCCTGGTCTGGGAGCCAAGGAGGGTGGGAGGGAATGGAGTTTCTGTGGCAAAGGGTCCTCTCTGCCCCACCTCTGTTCCCAGCTTAATGATACTATGAGCTTGGGGACCTTACACTATCCTGCATTCCATCCCAGTTTCCCCGAAAACCCTGCTTGCCAGCAGGCCACTCCAGCACCAGGTGAACGGCACGCAGTGGCTTGCTTTGTGCTACCCTTAGCCACAGCCTCCTTGTTGGACCGAGAACTCCCACGCCCACAAATGTTGAAGAATCGATAAATTCTGAATCCTGAGTTATGGTGGCTTCTCCAGACCTCCCCAGTACCCCAGCAGGTACTGATGTAGCAAGATCAGCTAAGCCCTAGCCCCTCAACAAAGGGATGTGTCCACAGGGAACTGGAAAGGGACACTGTGGTGCTACACTGCCCTACCCTGCTGGGAAAAGGAATGTCTGGTGACTGCTGGGATAATGGATAATGAGGAGAGCCAGGATCCCTGAGGGATTCGCTTCTGGCCTAGGCTGCCTCCTGAACGATGCTGGGCACACATGGGTACATCAGTTTTCACGATAAAGTTGCTGAGCCTGAGTCTTACTATGTGCTACTGTGAATGCCCGCTTGTCCAGTGGGAGTTGCCTCTCCGATCTCAATCCTAGAACAAATCTTGTTCTCTGTGTTTCAGTTTCGAAGGGGCTGGTGTGAGGAGGGGCCAGGAGCCCCATTCATAGCTCCCAGGGCCCCACTGCACTACCTAACCAGATGTGAGACCTTTTCTTCTCACTCTTCTGCTTTGAAAGGGGTGCTAGCCTCCACTGTATGTCCCCAAGGCTCCTCCTGACCTTCATCTGCCATGATCAAAGTAGAGGTCCCCCTCAAGAACGTGGTTCCTGTTGCCCTGTGTTTGTCACCATCTCCACACCATCTTTTTCTCATCCCAAGTCCTGCACGACCCAGCCAAATGCCCTGATCAAGCAAAAGGCGTGGTCAGAGATGCCAAGTGTAGGTGGAGAGTCCTTGCCTTCCTCCGCTCCTCGGCTGCCTCCAGCCGCTTCTGCAGCTCCTCCAGGGAAGCATCCTTCCTCTTGGGGGGAGAGGAGAGCACAGGGCTCTCTGGAGATAGGTCAGAAGGAGACTTGAGGATGACCTCGAAGCTCTGGCCAGAGGCCCGCTTGTCCAGCTGTTTCACTTCCATATCTGCAGGGCAAGACCAGAAGGGGACTTAATGAGACCTAGCCAGAAGATACAGACGGTATGAGAGGCTTTCTCCAGCACACACCCCAACAATGGCTGAGAAGGGGGTCATGTTGCTCAGGTAGTACTCTTGAGCATGGGTCCCTCCTCCCAGAATGACTCTCTGCAGCAGCCAGCCAGGCCACAGCATTACCAGAGATCAAGAGAAATGAGAAGTAAGGCGGTCATACCCTAGCTGAGCAAGGCTAGCAGCT